GATTTATAAGCGAAAATCGGCACAGTATGAACACCAATGGAGATTCTACATCGACAGCCAATAATGTTCATAATGAGGTTACACGAACTTTCACAAATCACCGTAATCAAAAGCATGAAGCTACAAGGAGAGATGAAGATGATTCTGAGTGTGACTACTCAACGTCTTCAGAAGTTTGTTCGCGCAATCAGCCCAAACGGGTGCATGAGAACCACTCGTTAAGCATCATTTACAGTGAGCACGACAAGGAATACGAGTCTCAGGTGATCAAACCTCAAAATATCAGATTCTTCTCTATAGAGTATTTCAACCCTGCAAGGCATCGAATGAATCAATCCAAGTCCAGTCTTTATCATCCGGGATATCCAGAGTCTATCGTTAATTTAGTCAATGAAGATGATCAACGGAAATCGTTGAGAAAGTGCTTTATTAGCGAGTACTTCAAGCCTTTCTATATGTGTGCAGTTATTTGCGTTCCCAGTATCAACTTGACGCTAGTCTACGTTTGTTTATATCAGAAAAATATACATTTTCTTTAATAATGGCGTTGCTCCTTTCTTAAGTAGGTGCAATGTTTTAGCGCACAATAATAAAACAATGAATCTGAAGCAGCAATTTTTCGTTTGGGAAAGAAAATTTGCTTCGAACAGCTTTCGCGTTTTTGTAGGCAAAAATTTCATATTTGAATAAACTGCCATATCGTGTGTTTAACCATGTGTTTTTAAATGCATACACCTTGGGCATGTGCATCTGAAATGTTAAAAAACACCAGTTTGTCTGGTGATTCGTTAAACATCCACAACTTTGCTTATTAATTTATTTCCTAACTCGGAAAACCATGCAAATTTTTATTTTTATAGCAAGTCGCTTTCATTCGCATTGCACTCAAACATTGATAAACCTATTCATCTGATATTCAACCAAAAATTAATCATAATATTTGGGCATTTACGGTTAACGCAAACTAACCAGTTTTCCTTTGAGTTGCCATATACACATGTAAATATTCATGACAAATGTTTCGATAAACGTTTGCTCTGTGCTTAAATTCGGATAAACACAATATATTACGCTGATAGGTACTCCGAGGGTCATGTATTATTTGTCATCGAATTAGCTATTAATATGACATTAATACCCGTTATTCCCTAATCCAATAATAACATAATCAATATTAAATGAGCATAATTTTCGATTCGAAAGCGTACGTACAGTCAATGAAAGTTAATGGCTTTGCGGTATAAATCTACGATTTGTAATTTCGGGGGAAATATCGAATTGTACCTTTGAACTTTGAGTAGGTGGAAATATTACCCAATTACATCCATGTAAATGGTTGCCAATCGGGAATATCTTGGGAATAAATGGAGTTCCTTAGTGGAAACACATTGGGTCAAATTCATATTGAAACGGCGAATTTAGTTATATTTACATTTTAAGAAATAGCTCCTCGTAATAAATCTGCTGAGATTTCGAAATACCTGCATTTACAAAGCAGATCAGGAATCGACTGGTGAGCAGAACCATTCTACGAATTTATATTGATGATTTTTTAATAAAAGTTCACATATATAAAACACACAGTACAATAGATAAATCCAATTTATAGGCAATATGGACAGCTTTAGGAAACCAACAAAAAATGTGATTTAATTGAAATTTTGTTCAAATAATGACAGAAGCCGCTCTATTAGTAGCTTCAAATCTGCAGCCAACATCAGAATCCGGAATTGTTAACTTTAAGCCTAGAGAATTCAGAAACAAGGTGCTCCTACCTATACACGCTTTGGAAATTAAATAATATAAAATATATAGAGAATACAAAAAAGCTAAATGATCAATTTCCAATCACGGTAATTTTGTACACTTACATATAAGAACGTCTGTATTATTTTAAATAAAAAATCAGAAGACATAAGGGCAGAAAAAGTAAAAATTTGATGAAACCAAATGGGAAAAACCATTGGCAGATAAATTATTTAAGCGCCGGCTCGATCTTCTTCGGCACAACTCGTTCAAATGCTTGATCTTTTTTATTCTTGAAAACTTGTTTCTTTAGTAAAAATAGTAGAGTTTCACTTATGAATTGCTATTAACGCCCTCATTATGGGTAAAAGTTTTCGAAGCATTTTCAGTTATTCCTGTTTCAGTTGTTGTTCAGAAAATGTATATATTTTTTTATGAAGACAACAATTTCGACGGTTATATCCGAACACGAAATCATGCACGATAGTGCAAGCTTCAAGGTTCGCCAACTTCGGGCACCCCCAGGACCGGTTTCGATCCTATTATCTCTCATCAGCTGGGTTTAGCCCGAAATTAGCGCAAAGAGATGGAACCAATGCAAACGCAAAAGTTCCATCTCTTTGCGCTAATTTCGGGCTAAACCCAGCTGATGAGAGATAATAGGCTCGAAACCGGTCCTGGGGGTGCCCGCGGTTGGCAACCCTCGAAGCTTGCACTATTTTACATATTTTTTTATATAAATGAACGGAGACTAGAATCAATATATTGCTTCTTGCAAATTAGAAACACCCTACGAAGGGCAGGAGACATTTTAAATCACTCTGTAGGTATATCGAAGGCGGCCAACATTATTGCAAGTGAACCGATGTCGTTCTGCATAAAATAATTATAATTTCTAATTGCTTGGTAGGAAGTTCTTTTTAAAACCGGCTCACAACAATCAAATCGCAGTGTTAATTAGAAAATTAAAAAGGTTTTTCTTGCAAAAAGAGAAAACCCAAATTACAAAAGCAACACTTGGTGCAACCTGCAATTTCATTTCAAACATGCTCCCTGACTGAAACTAGCGGAATGTTCCCAACTAGGGGTCTAACTTTTATAATTTATTTCTCAATTACTTAAATTTGCTGCTGGGTTTTAAATTTGCGACTGGGATTCTCTGTCCTTCCGCCAAGTTAAAGAGATCTGCTCGCTAGATTTACGACATTCCGTTATAGTTGGCTTCACTTTATGTTTTTTCCATTTAAATTTCGACTGCCAGCAGTAAACTTGAGATTTGGCAATGTCTTCTAATTTTGTTTTATTCGCAGTATAACCGAGCGGACAGGGAGCGAAATTGAAATATTACGAAAACTGCAAGATGCGGTTATTTAGGTCGATTACCACATATAAACGGGAAATCGTTCTACTAAAAAAATATCTGAATAAATTGCGAATTACGTTTAAGAGACCCATTTTGTGGACATCGTGACATCGTCCAGGACCAATCCATTAAGAATTACAGAAGTCGGAAACTATTATATATGAACTGTTAACTACCTAAACTTACCCAAACTAATTAAACTGCAAGTAGTAAAGTTCGTAGACTGAGCACTTCCGAACATCTTGCAACGGTCTTTCCGGTATTGTGAATTTCAAACAATAGAAATGGTTTTGCAATTTCAACTTCGACTTAATCGTTGTAAGATTGAAATGGATAAACACGGGACTGTGATGGTTTATTTAACTTGAGGTCTGCAAAATGAGGATTGCTGGTGTTAGATTTTGAACTCTTTCTTGACACAAGTTTCAGCTTTCCGTTAAACGTTAATGAGAATTTAGATTATCTGCAATAATTTATCTATAAAGCATTCTAGAGGGAGTCTGAAGACATGGTTTCATTCCGCAACTACGAAAATAGTGAATTTTCCATTTGGATCGCCAATATCGTTTTTACAATTTGCGCACGAACGTGTGTATAAGTTAAAATTGTAAATTTATTGCAAAGCAAATGTGATTGTCAATGTAATTTTTTTTCAGCCTTTCCAAATATCAGCATTAATTAAAGATAAGAATGTGTTACGTAGAGCAGGCCAATTTAAACAAATTTAAAAAAATTTTAAACCCATTTGGGAATTTTGTGTCCTCGACCTCCAGCATCGAATTATCCAATGCGATCCCATCGGCTTTCAGAATACGTACGTCTTAATTCACCTCATCAAATATTGAGCAATCCATCTTCAGGAGATCGATTTCGAGATTACGGGATCATGTAAGGAGGGCTTGTTTAGCAGTTTCGAGTATGTTTTCCACATAATGGACCGGCACTGTGGTTTCCATCGGAAGTCGCTCGAAACTCGGCTTAATGGAAAAACCGAAAGATCATTTGAATTAATTTTAATGATTTCGGTATTGGTTACAACTCAGAGGACGGATTCCTCTAATTATGATTCATGAAATAATCAATGTAAATATTAATGGCTTCAATGCCTTGAAATCGTTCTGAAGAACAATTTATTCGAAATTGAAACTGCGTTGAGCGGTTGCATTAAATTTGCTTGCCATTAAATTAAACAATCTCCGATTCAAAGAAGATTTTCATTTATTTACTGTAGGCTTTCTTAGTGCCATTATTATCGAATAAAATTCAGGTGGCATGAATGTGGGAATCCAACACACATCTGGAAAGTAGGAGTAGGATTGAAACCGATTTAGAGGACTCTTCTGTTCTCAACTATTCCGCTCTCAGAGCGTTAAAAAGTTTACGGCTGCTAATTTTCGATCGGTATTCTGTAACTCTCTTGTCCTTTAAAAAATCTAATCTAATTCCATGATAAAAATCGCCCAACCGCTTATTATTAACGGTATCCTAAGAAAAGAACAAGACCTTAATTTCCATGCACCAAAATTGAAGTTTCCTTCAAGAAACCCCTTTTAAAGCTTTGTTGTTCTGGATAATCGCGACATTTTATTTATTTTTCTATCTACTTATTTCAATGTGCAAAGAAGAAGTCAAGTCAGAAATAGTACAACAAGGTATCACTGGTGAGACAGTAACCAGAAGGTATTCCGTCGGTGAGGCGAGCTGATTTTAGGATAGATTTCGATGTTGTCCGACTCTCAAAAACTTTTCCGGGATCCGATCGTTTAACGGAACGCTAAAGTACCTGTATAAGGGAACCAAAAAGACAGCGAAATTTTTTTTAATCACAGAATATACATTAAAATTGCTTATTTTTGTGCAATTCCCTATTAATTATTGTTTTGGTTTTCAGATACTCCCTCATTCGCCATATCCCGTGAACCGGGTTTCGGCTTCCCAATTCGGGAAGGAATGCCGGTTTCCCTAAAATGCGATGTGGATTCGAACCCAAAAGCGAAACCAATTTGGCAAAAAGACGATGGCGATCCACCGGTGATGCAAAACCCGAACGGATTCCTCAACTTCAGCGAAATTCGAAGAGAACATAGTGGATGGTACAAGTGTATCGCTCGCCATATGTTGGGCAGGTTCAGCAGCATTGGGTACTTTCTTAATGTCCGTAAGTATTTTTATGCCCATATTTCGAACTACCAGACTGGGGGAAAATAGTAAAAAGTATCAAGAAATATTTGTGTTTTTTTTTTTCGTTACGGACTATAATTTTCTGCTCTGACTACTTGCCTTGAAACCTCGTTAGATTTATATTTAGTTCCGAGTTTTTGTATCTAATTACGAGCAAAAAGTATGAGGTTTATTCAGCAAGGAAAAAAAACAAAAATAAACTATTGTTCTCAGAATTCTGCTTTCGAATATGCTGAAAACAAGCAAAACAATGAAGATGAAACCAAAAAGTATCCGTTGAAATCGAACCACATTGAAACGTGCAACTTGAATAAAATTTGTCTTTATAGAAACGATTTCAGTTCATTTTAGTAACTGATTAAGCTCCAACTCCAAGCACTAGCATTAATTTCAAGCGGTAATTGGAAGTGCTTCTGTGCTAAAATGACATATAAATAGTTCAAATATTTAATTTCTGCTAAAATATCAGGTGAAATGCGTTCAAACTCCTCCTTCTCTGCCATGAACCATAGAATGTGAAATATCTCTCTATATGATGCTTGACGCATACAAATAAACGACGAAATGTTCCAATGTAATGTTCAATAAACATTTTTACGGAGGTGTAAATTTAAATGAAAATTTCATTTGAGGTACGACTGCAGTTCTGAGGCAGTAAAACAGTTTTATTCGTTGTGCAATAAAACAGTAATGTTAGTAGCATAAACTGCAGAAAGGGGCCAATGCGGAAGGAGCGTTATCAAGTGTTATTGCATTTTTGTCTGCGGTAGCACAAAATACGGCCCATTATGCACAAGGTGCTCGGATACTTTCTTCGGTTGTGTTGCTTTTATTGGCTGAGAGCGAGAAATAACCGAGAATGTGCTTGTTCAAATCGATTGATAACAATCATTCATATTGGGTAATAAATGCGCTCTAATATCCAAAGTATGGTCTTTCATTTATACCAATAACAGCGTCGGAAGGATGCAATAACGGAATTGAAAGCATGTTGATGGGTTAGGATTTATTGCTGGACGAAACTGATGTTGATTTGTTGGTGGCCTAAAAAGTTTTCAGCTGCATCTGATTCATAATGGTGCATTTGCACTAGTGGTTTTAGGGGTCTAACTCATTATAATGAGAAAGAAAGTTTGAGAAGCACAATTATTTCTCTTATTTTACGTTACCAGTCAGCTGCAGGTCCTCACGAAAATTTAAAAAAATGATAAATTATAAATAAAAACTTCTATTTTTTCTAAATTATTACTAAATTACGAGTATCTTTTTGCTTTCTTCTATTAAGCCATACCTTTGGCAGGAGCAAAGATATAGGCGCTTGAATTCGCTAATTAAGTTCGGATTGATGACCAAAAAGTGCACTTAAGTGGGAAATGCCTTAGTTCGAGACAGTTATCAAATTCAGCGGTAATTAACCAAAATGCTGTTAAGAACTAAAAATCGCAAATTGAATAAAAAGTCTCCATAAAGTGCAGTTTCAGTTGCAAAATCGTTCTTTTTATTAAGCCACGCCCCTAGGTGGAGCGGAAATATACGTGGCTTAAATTGCCACTCAATTTCAGATTCAACTCCAAAATCCAAACTAAAATGAAAAATACTTTAAGTAGTCAGGCAACAATAGTCTCAAGTTGAATTTCAAGATTCTATTTTTGACGGTTTCGCTTTTCTTAAGCTAATTTGCACACTTTCAGATGATGTGGAAGTGACCCAAGAACCGGATTTCGATGTTGGGGAACTCAGCTCAACTGGTCGACAAGTGGAGGTTTCTTTAGGTGGTGCAGTTCAATTAGCTTGTCCTCCGGGTGAGTCTCTTAATATTTTGTAAAAATTGATCTCATAGGTTTATTGGGGTTACGCGATCTAGTTTAAGGGAACTGGGGTTTGATTAAATTTCGACTCAAGAGATAAAAAAATCACAACAAACTAGTCAATCTAAAGTGATCATGTAAGGGTTCCTGACTGAATTTCTAATTTTAACATAAACAAAGTTCCTGGGTTTCAGTCATTTATTTAGAATATGACAATTTAGTCATTAGAACGTTTCGGTGGTTTTCCACCATCATCAGTTTGTTCGTGTAGGCAGTTGTTGCTGCGCAAGTTTTGGGATTCACTCCAGAGTACCAAAATAATAAATGACTGCAACCCAGGCACATTGTTTATGTTACAATCTACAATACGAAATAAAAAGTGTATACCTTCAGAAAGTGTCAACACTGAGCGAGCCTCTCTCATTTTGTCATTCGAAATATTTCAACTCCAATGCACTTAGCTTTTTCCTGAGTTTCACTGTGCACTAAAAATGCATTCTGAGAATGGAAGTTGCACCGTTTTGCATCACAAATAGACCCCGGTTAGAAAAACGTCCGGTCTGCCTCAAAATATTGCGATGCAAAGGAGGCTTATTTATGCTTGCCGAGTGCAGCGAAACTTCTGCCCCGCTTTATGGTCGTCGATAAACTTTATTTCGTATTGAAATCGGATCGACAACAAAACCCCGATATTTCGAAATTATCTTCGCAAACGAACTCGAAAAATCGGCAACTTGCCATTCGGGAAAGCTTTCCGCTTACGATGATGATTTTTGTGCATTTGAATAGGGGGTTTGCAAACTTCGGGAAGAAATAGATTTCGATTGAACGTGCGGTTGAGTTCATGCACGTAATTGAAACGTTTGCCGGACAAACATATTAATGCGTTATTAAGATTAGTGCGATTGGAACGCTTCGCATCAATCATTTCGCGCTCAACTGCTCAAAATCGAGCAACTGAACGCGGTTATTCCCAGCTTATTCGCTTACAAAGTAAAATTATTTCACGTCAAATTTGCCTCTCCGTTATTTGTTTATCAATCTAAATTAGCCATGTAGGACGCCCGAAGTTTACCCGCAAATTGCTAACTGAATTTCGGAAATATAACGTCAGAATTTACCTGAAGGATGGATGGTGCCAAGTGGTAAATGACACGGTGAAATATGGACGCTGTGCGGGCTAATATAAAAATGGTTAAAACCGATGGCTGGTTCAAAGGTAGACATTAACCAAATAACGATTAGCTACCAGAAATATCTACTATATAGTTTTCATTAATTTAGCCTTCCTGGGCGAAGTATAATGCTTGAATTCTACACTATCCAGAATCGCAAATACTAATATTACGTTACCCTATGAACGTCAAAGTCGAAAATACAGAGTTAATCTGATGCACAGGGACCTCATCCAATTAATTCCAGCAATAAATAGAACAATGGAAAATAAAATTTCCAATAAAGAAGTGAATGCAGGAGCTGCTGGAAATTAATTTTCCATAATTACGATGCGCCCTCCTTAATTGGCGGTAATTAGGGAAAGTTCGCGCAGGAAAAAGTTCAATTAATAGCAATTAGTTCTCACTAGTAGGAAGGGCATTTCCATAATGTACTGCAAGGCAGGCTTTTCTAATTATAGACAATTCGCACTGGTGGAAGAATTAATGGTGATGCCTTATTTTGCATATTGCTGACCCAATTTTTAATTGGAAAATCTATTTTTGGCCCAAGATTGAAAATTAATGTGTCCTAAGAAGGGACTAGGAAATCATATTTAGGAGAACAAACATGACTGCATAAAATAGACCCAATTCACGAAACGTATACAAAAATCGATTTATGTATTCATATTTTTTCCAAACAGTAACTATCTACAAATGAAATTTTGAAATCCGTATCCCTACAAGCAAACCAAAATTATCAAATAATTTTTTTTCTCCCCGGTTTTCATGAATCTTAATCTCCAACAGGTATTAGTGGCTGCTGGGCGAGAGTGGAATCAGGGACTGGTCGTTTGGATCCAATTGGCGCCTATCAAGAGCTGAGATTGGACAACGTAATCTATCAAGAAGGAGGAGAATACAGATGTGTGGCTCCATCCAAAGAGAACACCAAACGAGTTGAAGCTATTCGACATGCTTTATCGGTCGACGTTATTGTAACAGGTAAGACTTAAAACCATTTGAACAAAACAGCACAAGAAAAATTATTTATGTATGGGAGATTTAAAGTTACTGAAAATAACCGAATGAATGTTAAATAAAGCAATTTGTCGAAGAATACTTGTGTGTTAGTGCATGTTTTGAGTTAATTCGTCAAAAAACATTCCACATGGAATTGTTGCAAGTATAAAAACCGTTATCTTTTTGTTGGGAAAAATACTCCTTTTTGGAAAATTTTACTCATAAGGATCATTTCGATGGAGCTGGTCGAGGACTACCTATTGGCCTAAAAATGCCGGTTTTTTCTTTAAAAACTTCCAGGTTTTAGTTATTTAATATTGATCCCTAAAGCAATGAATTCCGTATGAAGGCTTGCGTAGCCGGCCGAGCTATAAATTGAATAGTTTTTCAGGCTTAGAAGACGTCTACCATAGACATTGTTTCCCCACGTTTCGTGCACATATCAAATGATTTAAAGTATGGGTTTAAATTGCCTTTCGATGACTAGTTCATCAACTTTTTTCTTTTCTGTCCACGGCTTATGAAACACTTTTTATCCGATGCTAAGACGATGAGTAATCTATCTTTTTTGTTGTATTGGCTCAACGACGACTACCAAAAATCGCTCTTTCTTCGGCTTCTAACAACTCCTGAACACCTTAAACTGTTAAAGTTGCTAGTCTTGATGTCTTGAGAGTTGGTTGGAAAACGTTTTATATCGAATAAATGCTTTTTTAATAAACGAATCTTGAAATAGTAAAAAATATGAATCGAAAATAGAAACCGATTTGAGTGCGACAAACATTTGCAACGGATTATTTATTGTTAAATAATGTTTCAGTGCACAAAATGTCTTTTGCCGCTATAACTATTGTTTTGGAAACATTTGAACTTATAAATGATTGAAACTTGTATACCGCTAGTAAGAAACATTTCCTACGGACAAAATGGGGAATTTCTTCCTATTGCTTTCTTAGTTTAAATCAACTCTTTTTATTTGGTAAAGCATAAACCAGGTTTTATAATTGTTTTATGTTTTCCTACAAATATTTTGTAGAACTAAGAATGCGAGTATTTCACTTTAGGATTCCTATAGCTTCAACCTTCTCCACCGTATAGCCTTCCTCATAGGATAAGCTCTAATCCAATAATACAGAGCATATGATGGATCTTCGCATTGAAAGGCTCTTAGACTATTACTTTAGAGATGGTAAATACGCGATGTTCACATGAATGATATGTGCATAAATCAACCATTATTACTAAGATATAATTTGAATTTTCAGTTTTACTGTCTCTAACTGTCTAATTAACATCTATGGAACACACATTGCGTTCAAATTGTGAAGGCAATAAAAATCGACTGTATATGCGACTTTGAATAAAAAATGCATTTTGAAACTTAGCAAAATACTAACAAAATCGAATAGCTGAAAATCTAGCCGTAAACTCGAGAACTAACTAGATAAAAGCTCCCTATCACAATAGAGCCCGCGTTTTTAGTATTATAATTCAATAACATATTGGACATAGAGTTTTATTTGTGTCCAGCTAGACTTCGCCTTTTTGTAAAAAAATTGTCTTTTTTTACAAATAAGTACTATGTTTATTTATTTATTTATTTATATTCCCAGCTTAATTTAAGATGCGGGGATAAATAGAAGAAACAATCTACTCTGACTTATTTCGCAAGTCCAAAGAAACATTTTAATTCAATTATACTGCTTAATAAACAAATTAAACGCGACCAAACTTATATTTTCTGCTAAATATTATCCCATTAAATCGCTTTTGAGAAACACGTACAAAGAGCCAAATCCCCGGGAAAATAATGCGACAAAAACGACCAAATCGCTTTCAAGTTTAAATACTTCTTCAGGTAGAACTTAATGTAAAACGAAACAAGTTTCTGCGTATAATTTAATACCGTACTTGCAAATTTTCGAGAGCAGTTTCCGTTGAAACTGCCACGAATTTGGTAGGCAGTTCGGAAGCAAGTTAATAGTGCTTGACTCAACTTGATACTAATAATATACTGCAGTGGTAAGTTACTTCGAGGATTTGTGTAATGAAGTTGTCAATTAAAAATTTTATTTTAGTTTCCACTCCAAAAGGAACTTTCATTTAAGTTCGTTCTCACTTTTTACTTACCGAGAATAGGAGCATTTGAAACGTTTTCTTATAGCTTCATTCCAATTGGTCCTTGCTCTGATCTCCAATTAATATTTACATGTTATTTAATAGATTTAACTCAACATTTCACTTCACCGGCAGCGCTATTTGTCTCCGATTAACATTTAATTAATTTCCCTTCAAAGTTGAGTATTTGGGGTGGCACTTGTTTCGAAACTTGGCCGGGTGCCGATGCCCTTCGGGCATTAGGAAATGAAGTCTGTCATTCTATCAAGGTACTTGTCCATAATTGGATTTATTAGTCCTTCAAATTGCCTTTCCTTTCGCGCTAATTTAATTCGCCTTTAATCAAAATATAGCCAATCAATTCCTGTATTACGGCAATAATTGGTTTCGAAGGATCCGAATCTATCAGCCAAAGGTTCGTTTAGACATTTATCACATGCAAGTACGTAATTTTGGTTAATAACAGCTCTATTCAATGCAATCAAGTATCCAAATTAGAGGGCTTCGTTTTGACAAAATCAAGCAAAATTTTAGTTTTGAGGGGTTGATTGATCAGGCTTTAATTATATATTAATTCTTAAATAATCACAACTTCACTTCGTCCATTAAAATACCTAACAGTAATTTGAAATGTCAACTGATCCCACAATGAATAAGTGAAAAATATGGTTTAAAAAGTAGGTACGTAGAAACATCGCATTGACTTTCCCTTTTCCCATCTTCCACTCAATTGAAATAAAAAACGCTATGCCGAACCCGGAGATTTTTAATTATTTACAGTTTCAATTCCTACCAAACATCACTTTCGAGTGGTTTTTCTTTTACATTTTATATTCGATTATCCATCACCAAAGGCCTTATAAATAAATTACGGCAGAGATATTCTCGGCGTAATATTACGTTTCAACTTTAGCCCTTCGGGGCTTTCGTGGCGGACCCTTTCGGCTCAAAATTAAATGGAATCCTTAATCTAACGAAAAAAAAACGCTTAAAAGAAGGGATAATGTCTTCATTATTATTTTCCCGCTCTGGTACTGTAGGTTGCACTTAATTTGCTTCCGCCCCAAAAGACCCCTTAAGATCACAATGAAAATATTGAATCTATAACTAAGGTAATCAGTTCTTTATAAGAAAATTGTATTTTTGTGGCCGACTAGCTTTTAGTTGCTCTTCTGAGATTCAATCAATATTGATCACAATCGTTTATTTACGATATACACATTTTGATCACCATTCATGCATGGCAATATTGCGTTAAAAATAAAAAGCACTTCACATTTTGATATAATCATTCATATAAATATGTGTTCCTTTATTTGGCATGTTGAATAATGATTGTTAAAATTCCGAATCCTATATTCGGATTTAGCCATTTACACTCGGAATAAGTTCTAAACCACTTTGCAGCAACGATATAAGCTGCGAATATTTGAGCATCGCATTCGATTTAAATGCAAATATTGCCGTTACAAAATAAAAAGCCGATATAAATTTTGAATACGAAAGTTTTCTTTTTCTGTCAGCTCTTCCGACATACGATTTGCTTAGTTGGATTTCACAAGATTCGAGCAGATGCATGGATTTATTTATTGATTTTTGCGTTATTATAAAAAGTGCATGTTTCGTGTAACAATACTTTTAGAAAGTTAAATATCGGCAACTTAATATTTGTAGAAAAGAAACTAGTTTGAAATTCAGCTCCTGTAAAATTGCGAAAGTTGAAGTTAATGGAAGAACATCAGAATGTCAATAGGCAATCAATTGGATGAATATCTATGTAATGAGCAAAGGCTGACGAAGAAGAATTTTAAGAAAATTATTTCAACTTGATTTTTCTCATATTAGCAATGCCGCAAACCGTATTCGGATGCATATCTACTACTGCCATCTCAAATGGATTTTTCTCAAGAGATAGTAAATAATAAAACTGATTATGTTGAAAATCAATACCTAGAAGGCACCGGGGTTTAACCTAATTACAGCTAACTAAGCAGAGAACTATCTTAACATAATGGAAACACAAAGGTGAATGAAGAAGGTCTTTAATATCAATTGTAACTAGTTGGAACAGGTTTTCGAGTAGGACGACTGCGATGTTTCAAATGTTTTCTCGCCAGAAGAGATCCAGAATCTCCGAGGAAATTGGAAAAAAGTGAATTTTTCGACATCAAAAGGTCCAAATTATGTATAAGACGCGTTATTGAATCAGACTATTATTTTGCTGCTGATGAGTTTCGTTAAAAGTGCCCGATTAAGAAAAACCTGCGTGAAAACTTATATTTTAACTATATACCGTCAAAATTTCAAACTTCACTCATCGTTTTTTTCGCGATTGTCCAAATTTTTCGCATGGTTTCAAGGAACTATTGGGGTACACTTTCGCTTTAAGTTTTTCAAAACCAAGTCAGCCAGCGCTGTCCAAAGCGAAACTTATTTGAAATCACCGAAGCAAAGAGAGAGAATCTATAAAACTTCAGTTGCTTGTCGAAAAACTAAACTCAGTTCAAGCGAGAAGATTTATAGATTAGACTTCATTTTTACCAGCTTTCTGCAAGCTGGCGCCCCATCCTCTATTTTCTACCCATAAAAGCTCAAAAATTTCACTATGCTTTCACAAACTACTGCACAGAACGCACGACACAAAGGCTTGTCGACCGATTTTGTCCACTATCGGTAGCAAACTGAATATTTATACACCTTTTCGAAAAAAATACACTGAACTACAGAATAAACATGAATATTTGATCATTTGCATATTTGCCCTTTCGATGATTCATTGCTCTGCTCTTGCTTGGCAGTTCGATTCCAGTTTGTTTATTGATGACATTTTTGTAGACAGTGCCTGTTCGCATTGCAATATTTCC